ACTGGCCTGTTGATGGGACTGAGCAGGGGTGGGGAGTGAGGTCTCAGCCACGGGTCAGCCTGGGGGCTGAGGAAGTGTTTGGGGAAATTGGCTTCACTTCCTCCACCTGGCATCTGGCAAGCACTCTGAAACATCATATGTCCTTTACCAGGTGGCCTTTCTGGTGAGCTACCTTGTGTGGGTTAAGTGATTATCTGGGGAACGAGCATCCACAATTTTTGTGATTGTCACTGGTCACTATGTAGCCCTGCTGCTCCCTGGGTCCTGAGCTCCTTCTATATTTTTAATTATGTGTATCTGGCTCTCTATTTTATTTTTATATAAATAATAACATACTATCTCGCCTTGTTCTACCCCTCGGGATTTTGTTTCTTTCAGCGTAATGAGTCTTGATTATCTTTCCGTGTCTATACGTAAGAAGCAGCGTAACCGTTTTGAATGACTTGTGCATCAAACACACTTTCTGCTCTAAGGCACTGTTGCCAGCCCGCCCTGGGCCTGCGGACTGTACAATGCATGTCCCCAGGCTGCTGTGTGACTCTGGGGCAGGAAGCAGGTGGCAACTCAAAAGTGGGGACTGAGGAGCTCTTAACAAAGATGTGGACGCAGGACAGGGAACCAGCCCCGGGCGGTGGGGGCCAGGGCCAGCACCATCTACTTTACTCATTTTATCAAGTCCTGAGGGGCTGTGTGACTTGCCCAAGGTCACATAGCCAGAGGCCAAGTGTCCCAACTCCCAATCGGGATTCTTTCCACTGGGCTTGCTTTGATTGTCAAAATTGAAAGAAATCAAAAACACCCTTGGTTGTTTAGATTCCAACCATTAATCTAGGAAAGAGCTTTTAATTTAATCTTTTCCATAATCAAGACCAGTTAGTCAATTCTTCTGTCATGAGTTTCCATAATTTTTCAATTTACCTAACTTACAAATTGCTTTTTAAATCATAACTTGCAAATTTATTTGACAAATGTTTTTAAAAGCAAAATTTTGGTATCAGTTTAAGTGTCCCCAAATAGGATAATGGGCAAGTAAATGAGGATGCATCTACCCAGTGGGAAATTACGCATTTCTTAAACTTGATATTTATGAAGAGTTTGCAATAAAGTGGAACATGCTTAGCTGTAATACTCAAGGAAAACTGTGATCTCCAGTTTATTTGGAATATCATCAGAATGATGTTGATTCACTCATGCACTGAAACAAACCGAAAAACACCAAGCTTACAGAAAGAAGAATAAATATAGGAAAGGAATATACCAACATGTTACTGATAATGATTATCTTTATCTCGGTGAAATATGGGTGATTTTTATTTGCCTCTTTCAAATTCTTCAGATTTTTCTACATTGATCAGCTAATACGTTCATAGTAACAACTGTATCAACTATAACAATCACAATTCAAAATAAAAAACATCACTGTGGTCATTTGACAAGGGATCCATATCTAGAACCATAAAAGATACCCACACCTTCTGACCCAGTCATTTCTCTTCCCAGAATCTGTCCTGAGGAAAAGCTCTGGGCAGGAAGAAGTTTACTACAGGGAAAAGCTGGAAACCACCTAGATGGCAAACAGTGGAGTAACAATGATAGAAAATGTGGTTTAGGTGCTCAGTGCTGCTACATATTGATTAGGAAAGAAAATTATGATAAAAGCGTATGCTACAACATTAAATGGAAAACTCAGGATTTACAATTAAATGTAAAGTATGACTCTAAGAAGTTTTTAAAAATGTTGTAGAAAAAAATACACAAAGATGAGCAGAATGAGCTGGCAGCGTGGTGTGGTGGAATTACGGCTAATTTTTTTTCTTTGATTGTCTAACAGTTACTGTAATACAGTTATCGTGCCTTTATAACTTGAAAAGAATACTAAGCAGCTGTTCATCTGGGAAGCTGGTTCTCAACCACTACCCGCTAAGCCACAGGGAAGGCTGGTCGACCCAGCCCCAATGTTGGCAGGAGGACAAGAGGGAAGTGCTCATCAGTGGGGGCCTGATGAAGTCTGAGTAATTTACTCCAGTGCTGATTAAGCACTGAGTAGGTGAGAGAAATTGCTGAGCCCTGCAGGGGTCAAGGTGGAGAGTGAGACAAGAATTAGAGATAAGGACTGCAGAGCAAGCTGTTGAAACGTCCGTCCTGGGACCAGTTCCAGTGGACAAACATCAAAGCCCTCACACCTGCCTGGGCGAGAGCCATGGTTGTGGCTGCCCAGCTAAGGCAGCGTCCAGGCTCCCAGAATAGGACACGGGGGAACATGGGTTCTGGGGTCTCACCACCAATCCTTAACTGAGGATGCTGGGATTGACCGGGGGCTCCAGGGCCGCTTCCAGCTCCAGCTCTGTGATCGGTGCTGCCCTTTGCTCCTGAAATTCTCTTCCTCATCCCCCAAGGTTTGGCACAAATGCCTTCACCCCTTCGAGGCCTTCCTTCACTGCCCCTGCCTGGGCTGCCCATCTGTTGTTCTGTTCAAACTCGGTGCCTGAAACCCACTTCAGAACTGACTTCTTCCGTCTGAAAACAAACAGAACAAACATCTGGCAGCTAAGGAGCATTAGGATGTGCCAGATAACTGTGCTCAGCTGCGTGTTGTCCAGAGGTGGGTTTGTCTGTCCTCCAAGGACTGGGTCTGTGTATCTGTGCCCACCTGCCTATTACTTGCATTACAAAGTGTCCCGAAACGTAGAGGCTAAAACGACAACTGCCTCTGTGTTGCTCACTTTTACGACGACAGCTGGGGCAGCCAGAGGCTGGGGCAGGAATTATCTGAAGGCTCCTCACTCACACGGTTGGTGGCTGATACCAGTTTTGCGTAGGACCTGGGCTGGGGCTGTTGGCCCACTTGAGGTTCCCTCTATATGGCCTGGGTCTCCTCACAGCAGGGGGAGGGGGAGAGAGAGAGAGAAAGTGAGTGAGCCAGACAGGAGGAAGCTGTATTTCTTTTATGACCTGGCCTCAGAAGTCAAGGTGTCGTTCCCACTGTGTTTTACTGCTTAGAATCGGTTAACCAAAGGCGAGCCCCATCAAGGGAAGGGGAGTTGGCCGCCATCGTTTATGTGAGGAAAGTAAAAGAACTTGCACGTGTGTTTTCTAACCTCCACTGTTGACCTTCCTCGTACCCCTCTCTTTGTGCCTAATGCAGAGCCTTGAACAAAACCAAAATTAGCCAGAACTGTTGGTAGAGCTGAATTGCCCTTTGGCAATTCAGACCTGGGTGCATAGGTTGGTGTGAACCCACTTCCTTCCCATTTATGTTGTTCAGAAACACAAAACACTTGGAGAAGTAATGAATTTCTTGCCTCCAGCTGCCCACAAGCTTGAGATCTAGCCCGAGAAGCCCAAAGTGCCTGGGCAGCAGCTGCAGCTTGGGGTTTGATGGAGTCCTCACTGTGTCACCAGTGGAAGCATTTCCTCCTCTGGAAACCAGAATTTCTAAACCCACAGTGGGGGGGGTGGGACATGAAATTCTCCACCAGGGTTCTCAGAAGTGACAGTGATTGGGGCCACTCTGGCTTTCCCTGCTTGGTTTCCAGACTGTGAATTCCCCTAATGGGGACACAGCCCCATACAATGCCCACTGACTCAGGGTGCCAGGGTGCTTAGTGCCTCTTGGAGGATGGCACCCCATCCTCTCAGAGCACGCTCTCCACTAATTCTCCAATGGGTTCTTTATGTCGGAGGGGATATTCTGGCATGCCCCCACACCATTAGACCCCTAAACACTTGCCCAGTCTGGTGGATACGAGTCCTGCTAGGATTTTTCTTCCACTCTCTGGAGTTCATGTGTCTGATTAACATCTCTAACATCTTTGTCAGTTCTTGGTCCTCTGTTCTGATTATATGGTCTCCTCAATGCAGTGAACAAGGATGCTCTGAGGGATATCCAGGTGAGACAGGTCCCGATGGACTATGGTATGACAGAGGGCAGGAGAGGTAACAGCCATTGGCAGGCGCGTCAGTGTGTGCTGCTGTCCCTCCCAAGTGAAAGTGAATTATTTCTGATCCCCTTTACTGGCAAGGATGGTGGGGGAAATAAAATGCTTTTGCCAGTTATGATTATGATTATGATTTTATTGAAGTATAGTCAGTTACAGTGTGTCAATTTCTGGTGTACAGGATAAAGTCCCAGCCATACATACATACATATATTCTTTTTCATTAAAGATTATTACAAGATATTGAATATAGTTCCCTGTGCTATACAGAAGAAATTTTTAAAATCTATTTTTATAAATAGTAGTTAATATTTGCAAATCTCGAACTTCCAAATTTATCCCTTCTCACTTCCTTTCCCTCAGTAACCATAAGATTGTTTACTATGTCTGGGAGTCTGTTTCTGTTTTGTAGATGAGTTCATTAGTGTCTTCTTTTTTCTTTGTTTAGATTCCACATATGAGTGATATCATATGATATTTTTCTTTCTCTTTCTGCCTTACTTCACTTAGAATGATGCTCCAGGTCCATCCATGTTGCTGTAAATGGCATTATTTTATTATTTTTTTATGGCTGAGTAGAATTTCATTGTATAAATATACCACAGCTTCTTTATCCAGTAATCTGTCGACGGACATTTAGGTTGCTTCCATGTCTTGGCTATTGTAAATAGTGCTGCTATGAACATTGGGGTGAATGTATCTTTTTGAATTAGAGTTCCCTCCAGATATATTCCCAGGAGTGGGATTGCTGGATCATACGGTAAGTCTATTTTTAGTTTTTTGAGGAATCTCCATACTGTTTTCCATAATGACTGGATCAAACTACATTCCCACCAGCAGTGTAGGAGGGTTCACTTTTCTCCACAGCCTCTCCAGTATTTATCATTTGTGGACTTTTGAATTATGGCCTTTGTGACTGGTGTGAGGTGATATTTCATTGTAGTTTTGATTTGCATTTCTCTGATAATTAGCAATATTGACCATTTTTTCATGTGCCTATTAGCCATTTGTATATCTTCCTTGGAGAATTACTTGTTTAGGTTTTCTGCCCATTTATGGATTGGGTTGTTTGTTTTTCTGTTATTAGGTTGTATGAGCTGTATATATATTCTGGAAATTAAACCTTTGTCAATCACATCATTTGCAAATATTTTCTCCCATTCTCTAGGTTATGAGATCAGGTCTTGTTCATCTACTGTAGCAAGGATACCATATTCAGAAATAGCAATCAGGGCTGTGACTTCATTAAAGTTTAGGTAGTTCACTGTCATCTTCCAGGACCCATCTGGCTTTGGTAGGGGACTACCATCCTTGCATCTTCTAGGATGCTGAGAGCAGCACTAGTCTCTGCCATTCTCCGAGGGATATGACATGCGTGGGGGCAGTTCCAGGGGCTTCCATTTGGCCTTTTCCACCATCATAGCTCCCACCCTCCTGCCCAAGAAACCAATGAAGGATTTTACTCCCAAGTATATCCATTCACATTATACACTTGGGACTGCAGAAATGCCCATCAGTCAGCTCCATGGATGGACCACTTGGACCCACTGTGAGCTGAACTTCGACCAGGGATTTATTTGTTATCTCAGAGATTGATGATAAGGTCAAATAAGATAATATAGGAGAGGAAGATTGTAACATGCAATAAGTGACAGTAATTTTCACCTTGGAACCAGTCACACAGGGTTGGAATCCTGGCACAGTCATTAATAGACTGCATATCCTTGGGCAGTTTGCCATACCTCTGAGCTTCAGTTTCCTCATCTATAAAATGGGAGTAATGACATCTGCTTTACAGAGTTGTCATAAGCGTAAATGAGCCACTAATAAAACATGTAGGTACCTGGCATAGTTCCACGCACAGCTTTTCCTGAATGAAAACGTTATTGTATCAAGAACTCTTCACTCTGAATTTCTATGGGGTTCTCTCCCTCTAGGACTGATGGTGCTTTGGCTGAGCCCAGAATCAGCTCTAGGTGAGACCGTCAAAGCTGGGTCCTCCAGAACTTGCATGTCACCTGCTTCTACATGTACCTCCTCTTCTGGCCTGGCTGTGCTTTAGATTTCACCATTAAAAAGCCATACTTTTGCCTTTTTGTTGTTGTTTTTGTCTCCAGGAAGCCCCTGTTTGGCACAGACATCGCTCCATTGTATGGCATTTGCTTTATGCTGTCCAAAGCACTTATCCTTTCTTCCAACAGCCTTGGGAAGTAAATCAGAGACTTGCCCAAAGTCACCTAGCTGGAAAGGGAGGAGTTGAGGCCTGAAACCAACACTGTCCATGAAGAGGCTCTTGGCTGAAGGCAACTCCAACACTAATTTGTCTCTTTGTCTTACAAAGCACATTCTACTGCTCTAGGTGAGGTACAGCAAGTGAATCCAACTCAAGTTAAACATTAAGAGTCTACGCTGTGTCTCAAGTGCCCTGTCTACATCTCATCTACCTAGAATGATGCCCGGCCCCCAGAACTTTATGGCGAGAGCTGTAGATAAGCTAAATAACTTGCCCATTTTCACACACTTGTTCAGCAGCAGAGCCTGGAACAGAGCCCGGGTCACGGGATCTCAGAGCCAGATCCCAAGCCCTTAACCACTGTACCAAACAGCCATCAATATAATAGATGGTGTAAGATTTGTTTACAGAGTGGAACATGGAGAGGGCAGTGCAGGCAGGGGAACAAGTCAAGCCGAGGGCGGGAGGGGTGGAGCAGCTCTGTGTGTTCAGAGTCATTGGAGCACAAAGAGAGAGAGAGAGGTCATGGAGATGAGAACGGAGCAGACCAGGATTGCCTGGGGAAACCTGGTGAAGGTGAGCAGTCTCAGCTCATCCCCCAAGACATTACCAGGGCCCCCAGCTGAGAACACCTCCTCTGGGAGTCTGAAGCTGGGATTTGTTGCTCCATTTGAAAGTGCACTTCTCTGCCCTGCCACCGCCTTTGGGGTATGGTGTTTACCCATCCCCTGTCACCACCAGCCACATTTGAATACCAGGCTCAATTGTCAAGGGAGCAGATGGCCATTGCCTCCAGAACTCTGCCCAGGATGGAACCAACCACTCTGGGGTGGAATCCTGGCACTGCCATTAACGGGTGAGCTTTGAATTAAAGTGTTTTTGAATTTAAAAGACAAACAAGTAGAAACACCTCCTAACCAGCCTTGATCGGCGAGGCAGAGAGAGCCAGCTGGAGCTTAGCTTCAGAGGAACAGATCGGAGGCAGAGTCCCAGCACTTGCCTTTGCCGTGAGGCTGGGCAGGTCTCTTCACCTCCTGAATGCCCAGTTTCTCCAACTGTGACTTGGCGTCCCAAACACTCCTGTTGACGTCCAGCTCTGAAGATAGAGGGGACAGCCCAACTCATAAGCCTGTGTCCAGTGACATTTAAAGACTTGTGTTTTCAGTCTCAGGTCAGATTCTTCTAGAACCTGGTCAAGAACTTGGTGCTAGCAGTTTATGAAGGGAGTGTTCTCTGGAGAACCTAGGCAGTGGGGAAAGCAGGAGAGGGAGGGGAAGGAGCCCTCTGCCTCCACGGGGAGAGTTCGGGTGAAGCGCAGCCTCGGGCAGATCCTGGGCATCACAAGAGCCCTCGGCTTGTCTCACCTGGAGGCAGAAGAGCTGGTGTTTGTCCTCCCACGAAGAGAGTTCTTGGTTATAGGTGAGCGAGAGGCTCTCTGTAAGGGCGAGGGGGCTCCGTGCAATCTCCTGAGAGTTGCAGGGGTCAGCCCCAGAGCAAAGCACGCAGAAGCTGGGGGAAGGGTGCACAGAGCTGGTGCAAGGATTGTCAGAGAACTGCACGAACCTGAATTTCCTCACTCATTCTCTGAAGGCTTTCCAAAGCTCAGGCTGCAGGGACCAAGACCAAGAATAAAGTTGACAAAATCTTGACTTTAAAGTTTGAGACCTTTGTCAGACGTAAGACAGATGTCTGGAGGGAAGTGTGATCTAGTTCCTTTCTCCAGGAGACCTGGCTGGCCTCTGGGGAGGCCCCCTGCCTGCCCTCAGGGCCCGAGCTGGCAGGGCCTGACTCCAGATCGGCGCTCTGTCTGGGATGTGGGGTTAGGCAGTGGCTTCCCTCTACTGTTTGGGGGCAGCCAGAGGGAACTGAGGAAGTACTGGGCCCATCACCTCATCTCTCTTTCCAATGTACTTATGAGATGGGGTAGGGAGTGTAGGGAGAGGGCAACTAGTGCAGAGATGTTTTTCCTTGACATCTTTTCAAGGAGGTTGAGGTGGGGCTGGAAGTCAGGTGTCCAATGGCAGCTGCTGCTGGCTCTGGGCTGTGTGTTGGGGTGTGGCGGCTCTGAGTGTGTGCCTTGGAGACTTCCAAGTACGGAGAGCTTAACTGACCCCAGGGCCCCGGCTCCTGGATCCTGAATCCACCCCTCCCTTGTGCTGAGGCCACAGCACTTCCCACGACCCACCAATACTGAGTACAGAAGGCATACTAAGGCCAGTCCTTTGCTGAGAGACAGGGGACTGCTCGGATGTCCCCTAACTTTAGCTCAAGGACTCCCCGATGGCTTGGCTGCACCTTCCTTAGACATCACAGGATGCTCCCACTCAACCTACCTTTTTTCTTTGCTTGGAGTCAGGGCTGTGGGATACAATATAGGACACCCAGGTAAATGTGAATTTCAGACAAACAACAAACAATTCTTAGTATAAGTATGTCCCAAACACTATATGAGATATCCTTATAGTAAAACATAATGTGTTGTTTATCTGAAATTCATATTTACCTGGGCATGCTGACTATTTGCTAAATCTGGCGGCCCCACTTGGGGGTCAGACTCACCTTGTAGCTTTCTCTGCTCCCTCTCTATTTCCTGCCACATGTACTTCCTCTGATAAAATCCTTGCATGTTGAATCCCTCTTGGCATCTACTTCTCTGAGGACCTGGACTAACACAGCGGGGCGGAGCTGAGAGTAGGTGGGTAGGGGAGGTGCGAGTAGGCAGGCTTGACTTACAAACATCTCATTTCAATACAGCTGGCATAGTCCTGGGAGAGGGGCCATCTTTTGCTGCTTAAAGCTACAGTTGTAAGGGAAGAGGAGCTTTTCTTTGGTCCAAATTGGAATGCACTTGCCAAGTATAAGGAAATTCTGAATCAGTTATCTAATTTTATGGTGTCCAGGAATTCCATGGGGGAGCACAAGGGAAGTGCATGTTCGTGGGTCACTCCCTCCAGCAATTCCGATTTTATAGGTCTAAGGTTGGGGTCAGAGTTTTGCATTTTTGTAGGCTTTGCAGTTGATTTTGAAACTGCACTGGGAAAATAACTTGGTGTATTTTGTAAAACTTTCCATGAATGCTGCTGCTTATGCTAATTCATTGCTGTCTCCAGGTAATAATTAATTAGCATTTAGTAGTCAAGGCATCAAAGCTGGGAGTAAATTTGCTTTTTTTCCTTCCCCTCCATATTTATTTTTCTGAAGGCTCTCTTTGGGTTAGAAAAATTTGCTGAGAACCTGGGTTCCTGAGAAGATATGGTATACTTTCTTTTATTTGATAATGAAAGTAGCATAAATCACTTTTCCCCTTGCCTGCTAGGAGGCTCAGAGCACGATTTTTGTATAAGTTGCAGTACTCTTCCTGAATCAGGATTTCTGATACAAGAAATTCCTGCCCCCTGCCAAATAAACACACAAGGACTTCATCGGATCGTTACTGTGGTTTCATTCCTGGCAGTGATAGTGGACTGTCTATTTGCTTCTTATTGTAAGAAGCAGCCTTCTGTCCTTTCAGAAGTATGCAGAGTATAAACCAGTCCTCATTTACCTGACTTCTGAGAACTGGAGGTGCTTCCCAGGGGCCAGGATTATCTGTTTCTATGCTTCTGTGGGAGGGTTAAAATAGAGGGTGAAGCTGCAAAGAGGGTGTGGGCCTGCGAGGAACAGTGAACCAGGTGCCACCCTTAAAGGCAGAACTGGGTGGGGATCAGCTGAAGGTGGTGGCTGGCCAGTGGAACCAGTGTGTTTGAGATGGGCGTTGACCGATTCTGATCCCAGGCAGGCAGGGTGAGTTGGCAGGGAAGGAATGTCCTGACTCATCCATGTCTCGGTTTCTCTTAGGGTAGAGGGCTGCCCCCCCAGGACTGGGGAATCTGGAAAGAAAAAGACAGACAATGGGGCTTAATATGAAGCCTGTGGAAACAGGATTCCCGGCCACAAGGGCTCAAGTCCTCTTTCATTCCAACATTCCACCACTACCCGCTACTGAAGACCTACCAAGTATAGTGCTGCACTAGGGGCTGGATTTGGGGCCGTCAGGATATCTCCCACCCCAAAGATTCAGGCCACCAACTTCTTGTTTTAGGATCTTGTTTAGGGTTCAGGCATCCTTCTTCCCATTTTTCCAGGGGCTTCAAGCACCTGCTCTTCAGCCTTAGCTTGAGCTCTATCTGTCAAATGGGTGCATGGAATTGGAGCAGAGGACAGGGTCACTCTGAGTCCTGGTGTCTCCCTCTCATTTGCTGACATCAATTCCTTCTCCCCTGGCAGAGCGATAGCAGGACATGCTGCTGGAAGCCTGGTGGGGATGGACCCTGTCCAGGCATCTCTTCATGTGCCCAGCTACTGGCTTAGAGCCACCCCCAGAAGGGGTTAACTAACCAGGTGCAGGGCCAGAGTGACCTCACCTGCCTAGGAGACAGGAGCATCTGTGTGCTCCTGCCTTTCATCGTGAAAAGTCCCAAGGCCAGTGTTCTCACCAGCCCTACGCACGTGCACTTCTTCCTTTAAACAGAACTCCAAACCTAAGGGGCTGGGGCCGGGAAGGTAGAGGTTCAGTTCTGAGCAGGTTCGTTTGTTCCATTTTCCAGAGAGGCATCAGATGGCGATTCACTTGCTGAAAGAAAAAGAGACAACCCCCAAACTCTAGGCTTCTAAATGTGAGACAGAAAAGTGATGAAACTACAGTTGGGTTTTTAGGCCCAAACCAAAGGGGGCCAGAGGGTACTCTGACAAAAGCAGGCCATGGCCAGTGGCTCCGCAGGCAGAAGGATGGGACAGATTCTGGCTCATAGCAGCTGAAGACCATGGGCTGTCCATCTTGGAGCTTCAGGTCCTTCCAGTAACACAGGGAACTCCTGTCATCTGTGGAGTTGTCCCAAGGTCCAGGGTGATAGCAGGTGTGAGAATGCCAGGTACCAGGTACCGGGGCTCTCACTGCGATTAGCTTCCCTCTGCCTTCCAGGAAAATGAAGATCAGGATTGTGGGACTCCACTCTGGAGCCGGGTTAAAGAGCCCTTTGGGGCCCTGCTAGGCGCATCTTGGGAATTAAGTCATAGCCATCCAGGCATTCCTCAAAAGGTACCATTTTAGATCAGCGTAGAATGAAGGGACTCCTAATTCCACAATGTTGGTGTTTTCCCAGACAACGCTCCACCCCTGGAAGGCAGTTTCCTGTCCTTTTACAAAGTGAGCTGCACTGAGTGGGCTTCTGCAGAAATAACTCGCTGTCTGTAATTACTGCTGAGTGTAGAATCTCTGGCTGGTGAAGACCACCCTTAGCTAATTGATGCCTGATGCCATGGGGGCTGTAAGTGTAGCCCTCGTTGTGTAAGGGAGGGAACAGATGGAAGTGTGACGGGGCTTGTTGGGGTGGGGTCTCAGTGATGTCTGGCAGGGAGGACCCTCAGCAGTGTCAAGTGGTAAGTGGACGCCCAAGCTAGTGGCCCAAGCACAGACTCCACCCCTGCCACATGGCTGCTCTGTTCACGAGCCCACTGTGCAAACACTGGGTGGTCAGGGGCAGAGACTGACACAACTCCTGGCCGAGTCATTCTGTTCACTTAAGCATTTAATGCCTCTTCTGGAGCAGATCTTCTCTGATGGGTGTTAAAATGCGGCACAGAAATCCTCACAACTTGTGCCTACGCCTGTAGGTCCACCCTGTGCCTCTTCCCGGGATCTCCTTGTTCCTGATCTTCCAATCTTGTTCCTCCCAGGCCCCTAATCAACTGCCTAAGTCACTTATCACTACTCATGCATCTGTGTGTATTCTTACCTCAGGCCACTCTCTAACCACGCAAGGTGGATGGATGACCAGGTGCACTTTGCTCCAAACCCCGTACATCAGGGACATTCTCTTTCTCTCTAGTCTTTCACCCTGACAACGGGTGCAGGGCACCAGTATCCATCCACCCACACACTGAGCCCCCCTACCCAGCAGCCAAGCTCAGGCCTTTTCCTCTGTCAGCTGGCCTTAGGGGACCTGTCATCGGGTCTGAGGTGCACTGCAGGAGAGACGTCAGTGCTACACTGATGGATGTGGCTTGAAGATCCGTGCCGCCTGGTCATGCAGCTTAGTTGTCCCCTTTGGCCCCGTTTATACCTGATCCTGGATGTACCACTTCCATTGTGTGAGGGATTGCTGCTCAGCCTGCCAGCTTAATGAGTTGGTGGGTCGGACATTATCCAGCTCATACTGGCCAGTTCTGCCACGTGGTCATTTGATGTCCCATGGGCATATGTTCAGTCCCTGCCAGGATGCAGTAGTTTGCCCATTGCTTCTTTTGAGTGGAATGTATTTCTTCCCTGCAATTATATGACCTTGATCCAGAACCCTATGGGTCTGTGCTGTGCCTCTCCTGTTGGGGCTTGCCAGAGGCTCCCCATAGCATCTTTTTCTTCTTCTTCCTCAGGTACCTCTGGTAGCATGGGAACCCACCGGTCACGTGCCCCACACAGCAGGGCTGCAAGGATTGTACTAGGACTTGCTGCAGGGCCCTTTCTTGTTCTGGGCCCCACTCATAACCATCAGTTTTCAGTGTCACCCCTAAAATGGATCTTAGCATTTTTCTCAAAATGCTACCTCCAAAACTCAGAACCATATGCAGTGTTGTGTTACTTTCACAGAGATGGAAGATTAAAAGGACAAAATTTTATCTTTTACTTTGAACAGAATGCCTCCCTGTGTCCCAGAACCATTGGGCCCTCAAGTCCTTGTGTGACCCATTCTCTGAAGTGACTGTTCATCCAAGGTACTTGCCATTAATCTTGCACATCTGGTTCAATTAACATAATGTCATCTATAGAGTAGACCTAGATGATGTTCCCAGGAGTATCTAGCCAGTCTAGGTCCCTTTAGACTCTGTGGTGGCAGGGAGGTGAGTTAACATAACCCTAGGGCAAGACCATGAGTGTATACTGTTGTCTGTCCCATGTGAATGTAGACTGGTCTGTATGGAACAGAATGCATTTGCCACACCCCTTACAGAGCTATGCTAATCTGCTCAGAGATACCATACCAGGTTTAGCAGCTGCAACAGGGCTATTGTTTATGGAGTTTGTGGAAGACTACTGTCATCAGACTGTGGTCAGTCTGGCTTTTGCAGGGGCCAAGCTGTTGAATTAAATGGGGTTATACTGGGGATGACCTTTGTGGGTGGCTTAATCTCTGTCATCCCCCTGAAGCATGATACCATTTGTGACTTACTGTCTTGGCAGGAGTGGATATGGTTTTAGGAGCTCTTATTTTACTGGTAAAGGAACCAATGAGAGGAGTAAGTCCTTTGCAGTTAAACAGTTGGGAGCTGAAAACATGACCACTACATAGGTCCAAGGACCCAGCGGACCCACTGTGAGATGAAGCTAGGTGGGAGCTTCACTTATTGCCCAACCCTTACAGGCCTCGGTCTTGGAGGGGGGATGTGATGGCTCTCTGGTGCCAAGATCTGGGCACTTCTCTTTCCCCATTGTGCAGTTACCTGAGTAAACATCCGGGGATTCCTCTGGGAAGAGACTGAGAGATTCACTCCTGTATTCAGTTGGCATGATTTTGCAGGCTTCTTCCTTATGGGGACCTGGCATCTCCTTTAGCTGATGGGCTCTGAGTCTACGAACTGGCTCAAGTCTGGAAACAGAGCAAG